TAATATTTTCCTCTTTATAGGAGCGATAGAATCTAATGTGCAGCACTATTAATAAGATTATCAATTTCGGAGGGACTATAGTTTCAGACTGAAAGCTCTCTGGTGTTTCTGTAGACAGAATCCATTCATATGTTAAAAAGGCTTTTCTTGGTATGGTATGTATCAAAGGCAAACTAAATTATAGAAAGATAGGGCTGGCAAAGAATAACAGTGGGACAAAAATTACTCTTAACACTAGCGGTGTCATTAGTTCAGGGACAGGGGGCTACCACCTGCTATTGCTGTATCACTGGCTTGTGGCTGCGTAAAAGACCCAAATAACCAGATTAATAAAATATAATCATTTGTTTAATCGACTAGTATTTCTGATGTCATTAACCGACTAGTCGACTTATCACTCACATCCCTCAGCTTTCAATGTTATGTGTTATATTATATTATATTATTGCTCATAGTACTACTATTGAAATCAATTGACAATCAACCTACAGCCACAACAGAACCAGGGAAGCACCATTCAAAAGGTCACCATGTCATCAACAGAGTTCAGACTGTTCCTCAAAACTAACCAAGGAGACTAAATAGTTAAAGCAACACAACTGACTGACTGAATATGTGTGTGATATGTGTGTGTGTGTGTAGCTGGGGCAGTGTGAGACAGTATTCCTGTCAGCTGTTGGTAAGTCCTCCTCCCTGGCCTTATTTAGACAAACACTAATTCAGACACACACACACACACACACACGACACACACATATACTGGTAAGACATGCTTCCACTTGTGGAAACACACTCTCAGGCAAACCCACATACTCAAAATGGTCAAGAATATTCCTACCCTTTTCTGTCTTTCTAGCCCACTCACCTCTCTCGTCTCGCTGTTTCTTCACTTTGTTCCCACTTTCTTCTTCCCTCCCTCACCCAGGTGATGGGAAAAGTCATGCAACCTTAAACCCTTGACACATTTGTGTTTTGACCACCATTCATCAGTTTTGGCTGCACTGCAACCTTCAAAGACTGCATCTCCCATTTCCTACCTTCTACCACCAGCTCTACTGGATTAGACTGTTTAAGCATGTACTTATGATTGTATTGAAGCATGCGTACATGTGCATTTGTGCCTCTTGTTCTCATGCATCGTGCAAGTGTTCAGTAACACACACTAATCAAAGAAACCACTGTTACAAGTTCAACACAACTGAGAAAAGTTAGGTCCACTATGTAAACTCTGATGGATGTTCACAATGGACATTTTGTATAATATATTTACTGCTCACCTTTGTTTTATGTTCCAAAGAAGTTTGATTAACCTCAAGGTTAGTTTCAAACCTGTTTTATTGTCTGATTGTCATTTTCAGCAATGTTGCTGGTTAGTAAACGAAGACATGAGTAAGTACCGATAGACATAAGAGCCAACAGGTGACACGTAACTTCGATCTCCACTTCAAGTCCACCCAGGGATCTTTCGTCATCCTTCATTACTTACACCCTCACTTTCTGTGGGCACTTTATAAATATAAATGCAGAAAACAGGCCAAAATGTTTAGTTGTGGTTTTCTGAGATTATTTTACACAGGATATTTTACCTGGAGATGGCAATCTCCACTTTGGTTCTGGCGATGGCGGCTGCTCTCACTGCACCCTCGATGGCTCGACCCACCTTCTGTTTGGTCTTGGTGTTCTTCAGTGGGATCAGCTGTTTCCTGATGCCCCGCACCAGCACGTTGTTCTTGTACTTTCCTTCTTCCTTGGTGCCATCAGGAAAGAGGGTGCAGCCATAGCCATGGCGCTTGTTGTTCAACCACTCGCCTTCGTACTTCATGCCGTTGGAGCGCTCAGAGACACCAAAGCCACTGCGCTTGTCATTCTTCCACTCGCCCATGTAGGACTCAGTAGTGGTGGCATCCACATTGTCCTCCAGTGGCAGGTAGTCATCACCTGGGTCTCCGTCTCCAAAGCTGATTGTTGAATTGGCGTCACTTGAACTGATGCGGCTCATGGTGGTGTCACTGTGTGCTGAGCTGCGTTTACTGGAAATTGATGAGCGCGAGTCTGATTTGCGTAGTCGCTGAAGGCTACCGAAGAGGGAGCCACGGCGAAAAAGACCTTTCTTCTTCTCTAAACCTTCTCCGTCTGAGTGGAAGTTGAGTACAAAGCCACCACGTGTGCCAGCAGGGCTGTCAGACAGGCTGTCACGCAGTACTGTACCATTACTCTGCTCACTGCGAAGGGAAGCCAGTGAGGTTCGTAGAGGTGAGCGGATGACAGAGGCCATACCATATGGAACACTTTGACGTACGCCATAGCCATGACGCATCCCACCAGTCCACTGACCCTGGAAGGTACCTACAGCAACAACAGAAGGAAGGAGAGAGATGACGGACAGTTAGCAAACTGCAAAATACAGAAGCAAAGAAATCAGACAGAAAAAAAGAGACAGATAAGTAGATAACAATGAATAACACAATAACTGAATTATAATAAATTAAAAAGTCACAGAACAGAATCACGTATGGAATACAAGAATGTTTGAGATGTGATTTTGTGTTCTCCTGGATGGATGACCAGTGGAGATGTCTCGATATAATCTCCTTCCTTCCTGCCTTCCTTCCTTCCTTCCCAATATCAATTGTGATAACTACTCTAGACGATACAAGTACCAATTTAATTTGATACAAATACATTGGAAAAAATTCTAAATTCAAATTACAGCTGCAAGCAGCGATGAACGGGCCCTCGCACTCGGCACGTGTTGAGGTGTGCTGCACAACATAACAGCATAACGTGTGGACCACGACATGAAAATTTCACGTGAATCAGATCAAAATCACCAGTAGGGTGCATTATCACTATGACTGAATATTGGCATGTAGATGTGTTCAGGGTGGTACCTTTACAGAATATGTGAAGTTTAGTGGAGATTGGACCATGTAAACTGAAG